GGGGGGGGGGGGGGGGGGGGGGGGGGGGGGGGGGGGGCAAGAAATGGCAGTGGCACTGAGGAAAGGAAACGGTGAGGTGGAGAGGGTCTTGTTTGTTGCCATAGTTTCTGGGAAAATGAACAAGGAGGGATGCTAAGCTTGTAGCATCCTTGGCTGTATGATTGGTCGATGGAGGCTGAAGATGCTTCTCTGAGCTATTAACAGAATCATGTGTGTGTGCATGTACGTGCGCATGTGTCACGTCTGAATCAAGCGCCGTCAATCACTGACCAACAATGGCAGAGACTGAAAGCTTCCTGTTCTCATGACGGTTGTAGGCCAAACACGCCAAGAACCACTTCCTGCTAAAAACCAGAACAAAATATATTTTTGACGACACATTGGACCAAAGAGAACCAAGAACAAAGTTCTGCTTTACTTCAAGAATGCATGTCGCCCGCCGCATTTCAAAGGCAAAAAATACTGAAGAAGGTGTAGCACTTCAAGTACGTGTTCGGGATGATGTCAGGATTTGTAAAAGTGACTGACAGAAGTGGAGCTTTAGCTGTGGCAGCCATCTTGAATGGGGGTGACTAAAAACAGACGTAGACGTGCGTTGCACGAGATGTTTTGCTGAAAGACAAACTGGACACGTACCGACTTCTATTCATCTCTGTAGTTTAACTCTGATTCTTACTTTAGTCCTGAACCCGACCTCTGACCCAGAAATTATATCCCACCGTATCATGACCCGATTTGGTTCCTTTAAGATCTACCAGTCCTGACGAGGCAGGGGCGCATGATAGAAAAGGTCCTAAAAAGGTAACGAGTGGTACGTCGATGTCCCCGTCTCTGAAGGACTTGAACAGAGAATGTTTGTAGTTTTGGAGACGAGTGTTTTTCTGCTCTGAAACTGAACAGACGAAGTAAACCTAAATGTTTTTTGTCCAAGATATTCAAATGAGTAGGAGTTACACTGTGTAGAAGAAATGAAGTTGTTTTTTAGTCCGAGGCAGCAGAGCGACTGATCCTGGTGAGTGGAGGGGGCAATTTATCCACAACCAGGTGCAGTGGTGGAGGAAGGGGGTGGCCAATGGTGGCCTCAGCCCCCACAGATTAATCTTCAGCCACCCTAATCACTTCAGGAAACTATACTTTAAAGTAATGTAAAAACTAAATTGCATAATTTCATAAGGTGGCTGTGGCGTTAAGGCAGTCGTTATCCAATGCCAGAGTTGAGGGTTCGATTACAGCAGCAGTCACATGCTGAAGTGTCCCTGGGCAAAACACTGAACCCTCATTGCCTCCGATGTGTGTCCCATCAGTGAATGTGATGAAGCTCTGATCATTCTTTGTAAAGGTAGAGTGCTGTACGAGTGGGCAAATGAAGCACAGATTGTTGTAAAGAGCTTCGAGTCACGACAGAAAGGAGCTGTAGAAGTACAGTCCATTTCCTCAAATGAGGAGTGGTGGCACAGAGGTTAGAGAGGTGGGTCTGTGATCGGAAGGCCACCGGTTCAACTCCCTGTACAAACATCAAAACGTGAGCGGGAAAGGTGAAACACCCACACCTGCCTCCACCCTCATTTGCCCCACTATAGGCCCTGGAGCAAGGCCCCTAACCCCCACAAACTGCTCCCCCAGGCCCCCTAGATGCAGCTCTCTGCTCCACACAGAGGCTGTGGCAGCTCGGTGGTCTGTGGTTGAGTCAGGAAGGAGATCCGGCGTAAAAACACTCACAAAGTCTTCGTGCGAGTTAGTTCACTGTGACGACCCCTGAAGGAGGAGCAGCCGAAAGAGAAAATTATTTCCTCAAACGATAGGGGTGGTCGGTTTACATAGGTTTGGTGGCGGCCATGTTGGATTTTTAATTGATGAAATAAACTTTTCATAGGCCTAGATGCAGCCGCACACAAAAAGTAAAGCTGGCCCCTTATGTTCACAACTTCCACTCATGGACAGACGGAGGCTTTTTCCCAATTCCCCATGTCGCTCCACGACGGAGGACAACAAAAACAAAACAGGTGTGCACGTACAAACAGGCAAAGGCATTAGGAGGTGATAAAAACCCACCCCTCTGCTCCTCAGAGACTTGTTCTGAGACGGGCTCACTCACTCCTCCTGCGTGAACCTCCCTCCTGTGTGTGGGATTACACAGCAGAATATCACTAATCCTAAAAAGGTGCCAATCTTCTGTTCCCTCCCCACACGCCCTCTTCTCCTCCCACTCACCTCAATTTTAGTTCAAGTCCTGCAGGAGGAGGAGGGTGGAGGAGGAGGGGTGTTTACAGAGGGGGCGTCCCGCGGACGTAACAACGAGCTTTAACCGGCTTTAGGAGGAGCAAAGCGCTCCTCTGTGGGTGAAGCAGGACACGTGAAGCCCCCGCAGAGGAGCAGCTGTCATCATGGCAGCCAACTTGCAGCTGATGCAAACTAAAGCTAAGCTAACACTTTGATACCCGTTAGAGCGGGAATTAAAAAAAAAAAAAGATTTGAGGAAAATGCTTATTTTATCTTTACAGTTGATTGTTCTTTTACGCCATCATACATTAAGATGGCTGCCACAGCAAACTGACCTTAAAAGCACTAAAATTGCTACATTTCAGCTAAACTTTGGTGCGATAGCAGCCGAGAGTGACTCACAACACACATTTCCATTTGTAGCATTTGTAGCTACAACTCCCTTATTTCTCAACCCAAGATGAAACTTTAAAGAAACGTGGCGGGTGATGAGCATTCCTTCAGGGATGACTTTGATTTGATTGTCAGACGTGCATGTGAGAGCGACTGAACGTGCTCCGAGTGTTATCGCCTCGGAGCTGCCATGTTGCTCTCCTCTGAGCCGTCTTCACATATGGACCGTAAACAGGGTGATTACCAGATCGGGCTGGGCTCCGGCTGAACGCCACCCAGGGACTCTTTACATCATCATGCCCAGCTAAACACACACACACACACACACACACACACACACACACACTGGAAACAGCCACTCAAACACACACACACCCCCACAGCACAAACGGGGGTCTCCAGGTGACCATCCGGCAGCCTGGTAGGAGATCTGGCCTCCAACAGAACATGCGGTCCTCAAATAGCTCCTCCACACGTTGGTTCTGTACATTTCAGAAGCAAACACGCCGCGGTGCACGGATCTGATTGAAGTGCAGCTCACACACACACACACACACACACACACACACACACACACACACACAC